TTCCTTCCTTCCTTCCTTCCTTCCTTCCTTCCTTCCTTCCTTCCTTCCTTCCTTCCTTCCTTCCTTCCTTCCTTCCTTTCTCACCTACAGTATTTATTTGTAGTCCCTGACTTGCAACCATTCCTTTTGTGATGACCCAGAGTGTACACAAACGTAACAAAATCCAAAGTGTAAATAAATGTCCTTTAATGCCTCCAACTTGGCCCCACTGTTCAATAATTCTCAGTTGGAGATAAAACGTATTCAAAAATAGTCTTCAAAAGAAAGCAATACAGTCCGAACTTAATGAGCAGATAGAGGTGAAATAAAAACCTAAAACAAACTACAATGAAGGAAATTCCACAAAGGACCAGCATAAGTAATTACCAACTTCAAGGAGATAACAAGGCACAGTCTGTTGGAAGGACGCCAACCAAGATAACTTCAGCCCAAAATAAAACACACTTTGCTTCTGGCAACACTGTTTTAACTGTCTCTCTTAGATACTATTCTCCCCAGCTACAACCAATGAGGGGGATCATGGCCACTTCCTCTCTCGTAAGCCAAGTTTATTTCCTCCATTCCTCCCTGCATGTCCTAGGATGAAGAGGGGATGGGCCTGGGTCCTCCTCTGACTGCCTAGCCGTCTCTGCCCTTCCCCAGCCTCCTCCACAACCTCTGGAGCCACACCTCCACTTCCTGTCGGCTGTTCCTCCTCTCCCTCAGAGTCCAACTCTAACAAGGGCATGACACCTTTAGTGATCATTCAAAGTTAACAATGTCACAGGAAAAAAGTGACCGATGACTGTTTTTCACATGACTGTTGCCGCATCTCCATGGGCACATGATCAAAATTCAGACGCTTGGCAACTGATTCAAATTTATGACGGTTGTAGTCTCCCAGGTCATGTGACTTTCTGATAAGCAAAGTCAATGGAGAAGCCAGATTCACTTAGCAACCGGGCTATTAACTTAAACTTGGTAGTGATTTACTCCACTACTGTGGCAAAAAAAGTCATAAAATGGGTCCGAAAACTCACTTCACAACTGTATTGCTTAATGACAGAAATTTGGGGTTCAATTTTTTTTTTGCTTTGAAAGTCAAGGAGTAGCTGTATTTCTCATTCTTGGCAAACTTGAAGAAGTGTGGACTTCAAGTCCCAGAATTCTCCAGCCAACATACAGGCTGGGGAATTCTGTGGATTGAACCTCCACACTTCTTCAAGTAGGCCAGGTTGAGAGAAACGCTGCTCTACGGGTTTCTAAAAGCCGATTCAGGCCAGGTTCTGGAAACAAGGTTCCTATTGATCCATTAATTTACCTGTTGAGAATGGCAAGTAAGCTTCATTGTTCACAAACTTGCCTTCAAAATCAAGGAAATGTTCTGGATTGAATTTCCAAGGGGTTTTCCAGTGCTCTGGGTCATACAGCACAGAATGAGCATTGGGCAGCAGAAGAGTTCCCTAGAAGTGGAAAAAAAAAAAAAAGCAAAGGAAATTATGACAGGGATGGGCTGCTCCCGGTTTGCTCCAGTTCGGGCAAACTGGTATTTTAATTGTTTTCATTTTTAATTGCTGGTTCGGTGAACCGAAAAATCACCATCCCTGACTGGCCCCACCGACCCCAACCCTTTGCTCCCAGGAGTCTCCATGCGGTCCATTTCAGATCCCCAGGTAAGTACAGGGTCTGCACGGGGGCTTGGGCAGGGCGAAAATTGGGCCTCCTGGAAGTGGGCCCATTTCCAGCCTCCAGAGGACCTCTTTGGCTTATTTGGGATTCCATCTATTGCAACAACAAAGAAAATAATCCTTGCATCACTAAGCTAAATATGTTAACTCTCAAGAATTAATTAGGGCATCCGTCGGAACCCTGACAGAATGTCAAGTTAGCCCCGTATTTTGAAAGTCCATAGCTCTTATTATCTTGTGCTAATAAGTGTCCCACAGCAAGTTGTTGTGGGTGAGCAGAGGGTGGGAGAGAGAGAGAGGGAGGGAGAGAAAGAGAGAGACCTTTACCTTTCCAATGGGGGACCCCATGATAACAATGTCCTTCAGGCATTTCCGTAAGGGCCCTGTAATTGTGACGTTGCTGTAGCGAACAATTTCATGCAGCACGGCGTTCGTGTAGGGTAATCTGTTCCGATCCTCGTAAGTGATCATTTGAGAAGGCTCCAGAATGGCATCTATTTCATGGTGGATTTTTTCTATACATAAGATACATTACAGCAGGGCTGTCAAACTCGTGGCCCATGGGCTGGATGTGCCATGCGCTGACCATGCCCATGTCCGGTTTAGCAAAGTGGGGAAAAGTCACGATACATCACATGACACCGTTGTGATGCCCCAAGTTTGACACCCCTGCATTACAGGCAGTGGTGGGCTGCTCTTTTGTTGGCAAGGGCTGGCTGTGAGTGTACCTAGACAATGGGCCACAACGGTAACATTGAACAGTCACTAAATGGATCACTGTAAGTTGAGGGCTACCTGAATATCACATTGACCACCACCCCCAGTGAACAGATACCCACATTCCAAAGCTGTGGCAGCTGTATTCACCTACCTTGCACATCTGGATATTTGAGCAAATAAAGGAGGCCCCAGTACAAAGTGGTTGTGCTGGTCTCTGCTCCTCCAATCAACAGGTCGACAACAATTTGAACCATGTTCTCCTCGCTGAAAATGGAATCGGAGTCGTTTTTGTTCTGGAGATTCGAAAATAGGAAAAAAGGCCGATAAGTGGGAGATTTTTCATTAGAGCTGCCCATTGAAAGGATAAAAGTATCCCTGTTGAAAGAGAAAAACCCTCCGTTCTGGGTTCCCTGTCTTCTCAGGTACACCAGGCATGGCCAGATACAGGTAGACCTCGACGTACAACCCTAATTGAGCCAAAATTTTTGTTGCTAAGTGAGACAGTTAAGTGAATTTGGCTCAGTGGCTAAGACGCCGAGCTTGTCGATCAGAAAGGTCAGCAATTCGATGGTTCAAATCCCTAGCACTGCGTAACGGAGTGAGCTCCCATTACTGGTCCCAGCTCCTGCCACCAAGCAGTTTGAACACATGTAAAAATGCAAGTAGAAAAATAGGGACCCCTTTGGTGGGAGGGGAACAGCATTCCATGCACCTTCGAAGGCGTTTAGTCATGCTGGCCACATGACCACGGAGACATGGCTCTTCGAACAGTGCTGGCTCTTCGGCTTTGTGACGGAGATGAGCACCGCCCCCTAGAGCCGGAAACGACTAGCACGTATGTGCAAGGGGAACCTTAACCTTTACCTTTTTATAACCTTTCTTGACACAGTTGATAAGGGGATTGCTGCCAATGTTAAGTTGGCAACTCAGTTGTTAAGTGAATCAAGCTTCCCCTTCTGACTGCGCTTGTCATTCTCTTCACTGATGATGTAAAGCTATTCAACACCACAGACAATACTGCTACCCTTCAAAAAGATCTTGACTATGTATCAGAATGGTCAAACAAATGGCAACTTCAAATCTCAACAAATAAATGCTCTATCCTACATATTGGCAAAAAAAAAAAAACACCAGAAAATAAAATACAGGCTGAATAGTCAAGACCTTGTTGATGATCCAAACTCTATCAAGGATCTTGGAGTTCTCATCTCAAATGACCTAAGTGCTAGAGCCTACTGTAACTACATAGCCAAAAAGGCGTTAAGAGTTGTTAACCTAATCCTAAGTAGCTTTTTCTCTGGAAATATTACACTAATAACTAGCCAGCATACCACAATATGTGAGGATGCCTTCTATTGTGGACCGGTAAAAGGAGGTCATCAGTCGTTGTTCCACTTTATTCTTTTGCAAGACCCTAAAGAAATGGAGTCTCTGTTGGGCCTTTCTGGCCACCTGGTTGTGTTGGTTTTCCAGGTGAGATTTTCGCTGAGGTAAGACTCCCAGGAATTTAAAGGAGGAAACTCTCTCCACACAGCCCCCCTCAATGTAAAGTGAGGTGGGTTCATCCTCTCTCTGAGCTTTTCTTTTTTTCTTGCAGACATTTTATTACCCAGTTAGGTAACATTATCAGTGCTAGTAAGGAGTGAGGTTTGTAGGGAGGATGAGGAGGAGGAGGAGGAGGAGGAGGAGGAGGAGGAAACTGTGGGATCCTTGGTACCCTCTGAGCTTGGCTGTTTTCTTCCAGACATTTCATTACCCATCTAGGAATACTGATGTTACCCGGTTGGTAATGAAATGTCTGCCAGGAAACAACCAAGCTCCAAGAACACCAATGAGATTCCACAGTAAAGATGTGTAATCACAACTCTGTGATTACAAACACCATCTTGACCTGGGTCCCTCACCACATGCCCCTGGCTACCCTGTTCCCAGCCAAGATGGCTGGTCCCTGAGAACCGGGGAGGCTGAGCAGAACAGGAAGCTACGCCAAAACCATCTCCTTGCCTTGGATATGAACTCCAGATAGAAGTCCAGCAGATCTTGTGGTTCGTTGCCTTCTTCCCATCTCTCCTTGTGGCTCTGCATCTTGTCCTTGATGAAATTGCACATGAATTTGTTGTGTTCAAACAACTGCTGGTAAGGTTTCTGAAATATCTGCATAGTTGTAGGGAAAGAGTTGTAGGCCTATAGCAAGGCAGCAAAATGGGAGACAAGGGAGAATGACACGAAGTGAGAATTTATCGCCAGGCTGGTGGCTGGGTGATTTCCTCATCCTGCAATTTCGTCTTTACACGTGGGAGGTTTATTTCATTTAAACCAGGAGACTCCCATTTTGGCAATGTTATGACTTGTGGATTTCAGCTCCCAGAATTCCTCAGCCACCACAAATTGCCAAGGTGGGATGGCAACTTCAAATCTCAACAAATAAATGCTCTGTCTTACATATTGGCAAAAAAAATCAGAAAATAAAATACAAGCTGAATAGTCAAGATCTTGTTGATGACCCAAGCTCTGTAAAGGACCTTGGAATACTCACCTCTAATGATCTAAGTGCTAGAGCCCACTGCAACTACATAGCCAAAAAGGCATTAAGAGTTGTTAACCTAATCCTACGTAGCTTTTTCTCTGGTAATATCACACTACTAACCAGAGCATACAAAACATTTGCTAGACCAATACTCGAATACAGTTCATCAGTCTGGAACCCACATTACGTATCTGATATTAGCACAATTGAGAAAGTCTAGAAATATTTCACAAGAAGAGTTCTCCACTCCTCTACTCGTTGTAGAATACCTTATGCCACCAGACTTGAAATTCTAGAACTAGAAAACCTTGAATTACGCCGTCTTCGGTCTGACTTAAGCATGGTATATAAAATCATACATTGCAATGTCCTACCTGTCAGTGAATACTTCAGCTTCAACCATAACAACACAAGAGCACACAATAGATACAAACGCAAAGTAAACCGCACCAAACTTGATTGCAGGAAATACGACTTCAGCAATAGAGTGGTCAATGTCTGGAATACTCTACCTGACTCTGTAGTTTCTTCCCCAAACCCCAAAAACTTTAACCTTAGACTGTCTACTATTGACCTCACCCCTTTCCTAAGAGGTCTGTAGGGGGCATGCATAAGCGCACCAACGTGCCTACCGTCCCTGTCCTATTGTTTCTCCTATTCTTTTATTTTTCATATATGTACCCATTTCATGTATTCACAACTATGTATACTCTCATACTTATTATCTTGTAAACAATTGGCAAATCAAATAAATAAATAAATAAATAAAATAAATAAATTCTGGGAGTTGAAGTCCACACAGCTTAAAGTTGATGAGGTTTTCACTGGATTAGAAGTTATCTAAAGTCTTTTCAAACCCTTTCTTTCTTTCTTTCTTTCTTTCTTTCTTTCTTTCTTTCTTTCTTTCTTTCTTTCTT